AACGTCGTGAGAATTATTTTATTATGTTTTATTATTTTATTATTTCCCTTCTACGTGACTTTACCATAGAACCAAGAAGATGAATCCCTGCAGTCACCAAAGCGTTAAATCGAAAATTAAACCCACCCTTGTCCGTGTTTGCCCGACCAGCAGCTTGAGCTGGGACGACGAGGGGGCGGAGGTGCTGGCCACCGAGGAGGTGGCGGCGGTGACGCTGGAGGAAGGATCACTGCCTCTGCACCGCACGGACGGTGGCGCCGACGTGTTGCGCTTCTACTGGATCGACGCTCACGAGGACCCCTTCGCCCAGCCCGGTGCGTGTGCCGTCACGGTGGTCCCGCCGCGGAGTCGGCTTGTGGGCCCTAGTGTCGGGTCGAAGACCATGGTAACAGCTGATGGGATTATGGTGCCAGCTGATGGGATTATGGTGCCAGCTGATGGCCTTTGGTAACAGCTGGTGGGATTATGGTACCAGCTGATGGCCTTTGGTATCAGCTGGTGGGCGATGGTAACAGCTGGTGGGTGATGGTAGCAGCTGGCGGGCTGTGGTAACATCGCCACTGGGGAGACAAAGGCGGCCGGGCGTGGTGCTGGCCACCCACCCCCTCGTGTGCCGTGCCGGCCTTCATAGGTGCTGCTCCGCTAACAGCACTTGCCCCAGCAGTCTGTTAAAGCAGGGGTCCCCAACCCCAGGTCCGTGGACCGGTACCGGTCCGTGGCCTGTTATGAACCGGGCAGCACAGCAGCAGGATGTGAGAGCGGTGAGTCAGCGCGTGGCCTGCCCCCATTGTTTTATTCTCCACGTCCATCCGCGCCTCTTCCCCGCACTGTTTTGGTAAGCTGAGAATCTAACCCCTAGTAGCCACAATGAGTAAGAAACCAACGTCGCTGGAGCAGAGGTCGCAAACGGGTTTTGATTCCTTACCCGTACCCGGCCGCACCAGGGTCGCAAACGGGTACCTGTACCCTACCCGATACCCGGCTACCCGTACCCTACCCGTACCCGGCCGGGTATCGGGTAGGGTACGGGTGCCCGATTGCGACCTCTGGGATGAAGCCATGTTGCAGGCGCGGGTGGGTTAATTCTAGGAACTTGAATTGTGAGAAGAGACAAGACGTTGGGAAATGAGTGACAAACGGTGACTCACCAGTGACTCACGGCCTACCCGTACCCGGCCGCACCAGGGTCGCAAACGGGTACCCGTACCCAATTGGGTACGGGTTTCTGGGTATCGGGTAGGGTACGGGTATCGGGTACCTGGTTGCGACCTCTACGCTGGAGAGCTTCTTTTAAAAGGGGAGAAAAACCCAATGATGAACACCACCCCACCCCCCCCCCCCCCCCCCCCCCCCCCCCGGTTCGTCAAAAAATTGTCTCCCACAAAACCGGTCCCTGGTGCCAAAATGGTTGGGGACCGCTGTGTTCAAGGTTATACGGGGGATCTTTTTCGTGCGTCTGTCCAGGTGTGGTTTACCTGTTCGGCAAAGTGCTGCTGGAGGACACTCGGTCGTACGTCAGCTGCTGCGTCACCATTCAGAACATCGAGCGCTGCCTGTACCTGCTCCCTCGCGACAAGGTGCGACCCCACCCACCCCCCCACACCACCCCCCCATACCACCCACTCTCCCACACCACACCACCCACCTACCCACACACAACCACCCCTCTCTCGTGGCTAATGATCACCGGTCAATCCGAGACGTTTCTTCCAGCGCAAGAGGATGGGTAAACCTCTTCTTGGTTCTTTCGGTAAAGTCACGTAGAAGGGAAATAATAAACATTTAATACGAATAATTCTCACGGCGTTTCGGCCACAACGCAAGCAGCCGTCCTCAGGTGAGGAACAGGTCTGTCGGGGAGACAGCGTCTGAAGGTGTTCATTCAGACGCTGTCTTTCCGACAGACCCGTTCTTCACCTGAGGACGGCTGCTTGCGTTGTGGCCGAAACGTCGTGAGAATTTTATTTTATGATGTTTTATTTTTATTATTTTATTATTTCCCTTCTACGTGACTTTACCCGAAAGAACCAGTCACGAAAGAAGCTTTAAATGGGTAAACCTCTTAAACGGACTGGCGTCCAAACGCATGTCTCTGACATGCATGTCTCAGGTATGAACCCCCAAGTAGATCCCTCGGGTCCCCTGGCACTGCCCTTACTGGTTGTGCCAAAGACGCGCGGCCGACACGTGCCACAAACGACGCCACAAACGGCGTCACAAACAGCGCCGACCGAAGGTTTCCAAGCCGTCGGCCGCACAATCGTAGGCGTTGCCGCGTTTCCATTGAATTACTCCCCCCGTGACACCGCACCGCAACCATCGCAACCATCATCATATTCTTAGGTTTTTTCTATAAAGTCACGTAGGTAAAAAATTCAAATTAATAAAAGTAAAATAAAATAAAAATCACGACGTTATTTTAATTTACTTTTATTAATTTTAATTTTTTACCTACGTGACTTTACCGAAAAAACCTAAGAATATGAATCCTTGCAGTAACGAAAGCTTCAAATCTAGAATTGAACCATCATCATCACAACAGCAATCGCGACAATCACAACCATCACACAACCACCTTACAAACCGTCCTCACCAACCACAAGCACCTATTTGATGCTTGCGCTTATGCACCGCACCGGTTAAAGTTCACATTTTCGACCAGTCCGTTCACTCCTCTCGAGGAGGGGGCGGACGCGCGAGAGAGAGATGCGCTCCGACTGCAGGGGACGGCAACCGGAGTTGGATGTACGACGTGGTCTGTCTTCTTGGTTCTTTCGGTAAAGTCATCACGTAGAAGGGAAGTAATAAAATAATAAAACATAATGAAATAATTCTCACGACGTTTCGGCCACAACGCAAGCAGCCGTCCTCAGGTGAAGACCAGGTCTGTCGGGGAGACAGCGTCTAAATGTCGCCTCGACAGACCTGGTTTCACCTGAGGACGGCCGCTTGCGTTGTGGCCGAAACGTCGTGAGAATTATTTTATTATGTTTTATTTTTATTATTTTATTATTTCCCTTCTACGTGACTTAACCGAAAGAACCAACAAGATGAATCCCTACAGTCACGAAAGCTTTACATCTAAATTTAACCGCCTGTGGTCTGCTGCAAATAGAATGACAGACGTCGTCCGTGCGTCCCTCTCGTTTCGCACGGACGCACGGACGTCGTCTGTCATTTTATTTGCGGTGTTTTTATTTACTTGACGCCCGCCTGCCCCCCTCGTTCGCCCCCCCTGCCCCCCCCCCCCACCGCCGCCTTAGCGCGTGGACGTGAAGACGGGTCTTGCCGTTGATGACGCGCCCATCTCCATGAAGGACGTGTACGAGGAGTTCAACTCGCTCGCCGACAAGTTCCGCATCATGAAGTTCAAGATCAGGGTGAGCCGTGTGTTTGTGTGTCTGTGTGTGTGTCTGTGTGTCTGTGTGTGTGCGTCTGTGTGTGTGTGTCTGTGTGTGTCTGTGTGTGTGTCTGTGTGTGTGTCTGTGTGTGTGTCTGTGTGTGTGTGTCTGTGTGTGTGTGTCTGTGTGTGTGCGTCTGTGTGTGTGTGTCTGTGTGTGTCTGTGTGTGTGTCTGTGTGTGTGTCTGTTTGTGTGTGTCTGTGTGTGTCTGTGTGTTAGTGTGTGTGTCTGTGTGTTAGTGTGTGTGTCTGTGTGTTAGTGTGTGTCTGTGTGTGTCTGTCTGTGTGTGTCTGTGTGTGTGTCTGTGTGTGTCTGTGTGTGTCTGTCTGTGTGTCTGTCTGTGTGTGTGTCTGTGTGTGTCTGTGTGTGTGTCTGTGTGTTAGTGTGTGTGTCTGTGTGTTAGTGTGTGTGTCTGTGTGTGTCTGTGTGTGTGGGGAGCGGTTAGCGCGCTGCACTATGAACCTGGCGACCCGAGTTCGATTCCCGCTCTCGGCTAACACCAGTGACGATTATCTGAACCGGTCCTGGGCCTCCCCTAGGTCGACTCGGCCTTAAATGAGTACCTGGTGCGGTGTGTAAACATCGCCACTGGGGAGACAAAGGCGGTCGGGCGTGGTGCTGGCCACCCACCCCCTCGTTCGTGTACCGTTCCGGCCTTCATAGGTGCTCGCTAAAAGCACTTGCCCCTACAGTCTGTTAAGGCTATACGGGGGATCTTTGTCTTTGTGTGTCTGTGTGTGGGGAGTGGTGGTGCAGCGGTCGGCGCGCGCTGCGCTACGAACCCTGCGTGGACCCGAGTTCTATTCCCGCTCACGGACACCACCACCACCACACCTGTCAACCCGATCCTGGCCCTCCCCTAGTTCGACTCGGCCTCAAATGAGTACCTGGGGCGGTGTGTAGTAAACATCGCCACTGGGGAGACAAAGGCGGCCGGGCGTGATGCCGGCCACCCACCCCCTCGTGTGCCGTTGCGGCCTTCATTTGTGCCGCTGCTACTCGCTCACAGCACTTGCCCCAACAGGTTGTTAAGGCTATACGGCGGATCTTTGTTTGTGTAAAGTCGGGGTGCAGTAGGGTGCACAGGTGGTGCATCTGCCAGTCGTCTCAGTCAGCCAACCCCATGGCACCTGCTGGGTCTGTCCCGTGACCTCCTGCACCTAGCCTGGCACAGTAGGGGATACAGGCGGTGCATCTGCCAGTCGTCTCAGTCAGCCAACCTCATGGCACCTGCTGGGTCTGGCCCGTGACCTGCACCTAGCCTGGCACAGTAGGGGATACAGGCGGTGCATCTGCCAGTCGTCTCAGTCAGCCAACCCCATGGCACCTGCTGGGTCTGTCCCGTGCGTGCGTGCGTACGTGTGTGTGCGTGCGTGTGTGTGCGTTCGTGCGTGTGTGTGCGTGCGCGCGCGCGTGTGTGTGCGTGTGTGGGTGTGTGGGTGTGTGCGTGCGTGTGTGTGTGTGCGTTCGTGCGTGCGTGTGTGCGTGCGTACGTGCGTGTGTGTGTGCGTTCGTGCGTGTGTGTGCGTGCGTGCGGGTGTGTGCGTGCGTGCGCGAAGTCTAACCTCTATAATACAGGGTTTTTTTTGGGTTTAATCGCGTAAATATTTAAATGTGTCGTTAAACCCGTGTCGGGTGGTGGCGGGTGTAACGACACATTTATACATTTACGCGATGTAACCCCAAAATAAACCAGCGTCGTGGATGATATCGGTCGCGAAAGCCTCCTGAACGGACTCTAACCTGTCTGCCTGTGCACCGCAGAAAGTGGAGAAGTGCTATGCCTTTGAAAACAAGGACGTCCCCGTTCAGTCCGAGTACCTGGAGGTCAAGTATCTGGTCAGTGAGCTCTCCCGCCCCTCCCCGATGCGCGCCGTTGCTCGTTGATGAAAATAATAATAATAATAGTACAATTTGTAACGCGCGCAAATTTGCAGACGTAGTAGCCGCAACTCAGAGGCGCGGAGCCAAGCTCAGAGTCGCTCGAAAGCGCGATTGTAGAGGTGAGTTTTTAAGTGTCTCTTGAAGGAGGCGATTGAGGTGATGCTGCGAATGTGCAGAGGGATAGCGTTCCAGACTGTTGGGGCTGCCACCGAGAAGCGGCGCGGAGACATGACCATCCTGGATTATGGGCGGCCTTCCCCACCCCCCCCTCCCCGATCAGCGGTCTTTCGTCGGCGTGTCTCGCGATGCCGGAGCCGGTTTTGTCGCTCCGTCTCCGCGTCCGACGTAGGTGACGAAAGTTTACGCTGAAAGAATTCCCTCCCGGGGCGTGGGCGTAGATCAGAGGTCGCAAACGGGTTTTGATTCCTTACCCGTACCCGTACCCGGCCGCACCAGGGTCGCAAAGGGGTACCCGTACCCTACCCGTACCCGGCCGGGTATCGTGTAGGGTACGGGTATCGGGTACCTGATTGCGACCTCTGGGATGAAGCCATGTTGCAGGCGCGGGTGGGTTGATTCTAGGAACTTGAATTGTGAGAAGACACAAGACGTTGGGAAATGAGTGACAAACGGTTACTCACCAGTGACTCACGGCCTACCCGTATCCGTACCCGGCCGCACCAGTGACGTTGTTGTTGTGACGTTGTTGTTGTGATGTTGTTGTTGTTGTGACGTTGTTGTTGTTGTGACGGTGTTGTTGTGACGTTGTTGTTGTTGTGACGTTGTTGTTGTGACGTTGTTGTTGTGACGGTGTTGTTGCGACGTTGTTGTTGCGACGTTGTTGTTGTGACGTTGTTGTTGCGACGTTGTTGTTGCGACGTTGTTGTTGTTGTGACGTTGTTGTTGTGACGGTGTTGTTGTGACGTTGTTGTTGTTGTGACGTTGTTGTGACGTTGTTGTGACGTTGTTGTTGTGATGGTGTTGTTGTTGCGACGTTGTTGTTGCGACGTTGTTGTTGTGACGTTGTTGTTGTGACGTTGTTGTTGTTGCGACGTTGTTGTTGCAGGCGCAGTACCCGGCGGTGCCGGCCGACCTGTGTGGGCAGACGTTCTCCCGCGTGTTCGGCTCCAGCACCTCGAGCCTGGAGCGCCTGCTGGTGACGCGCGGAGTTCACGGGCCCTGCTGGCTGCACGTAGCCTCCCCACGTACAGCACGCACGCACACACACACACGCACACACACACACACACGCACGCGCACACACACACGCACACACACGCACACACACACACACACGCACACACACGCACACACGCACGCACGCGCACGCACACACGCGCACGCGCACGCGCACACGCACACGCACACACGCACGCACGCACGCACACGCACGCACACACACACACGCGCACACGCACACACACACGCGCGCACACACGCACACGCACGCACGCACACACGCACACACGCTCACACACATACAGACGCTCACACACACAGACGCATGCACACACACACGCTCACACACAGACGCATGCACACATACACACACGCTCACACACACAGACGCACTTGGATTGGTCCCCGTAACCTCCTGCCAGCGGCCGCTTGACACTTAATGTGGCCTCAAGGTGCACATAGCCTGGCGCAAGCGCCGTGGTGACGTCACCGCCACTGAGTGGCGAATGGCAGTTATTGTTTGTGTGTGTGAGTGAGTGTGTGTGGGAGAGTGTGTGAGAGTGTGTGTGGGTGAGTGTGTGTGTGTGTCTCCGTAGAGCTCACTAACAGCACTTGCCCCAACAGTCCGTTAAGGCTATACGGGGGGACCTTTGCCTTTGTGCGTAGAGCTGATCGCTCGTCCCGTGAGCTGGTGCCGAGTCGAGTGCCTGTGCTCGCGCCCGGACCTCCTCAGCGCCGTCAAGGACATCCCTCCGCCTCCGCTGGTGGTCATGGCTCTCTCCATGAAGACGCTGCCCAACAACAGGACCCACCAGAACGAGGTCGCGACCCCCGCCAACCCCACCCACCCCCACCCCACCCCACCCCGCGTTGGTGGCATATCACGTTTGACGCTGGCGTCGTGCATTCGCCCGCTACCCATGTGATCACACGGCAGAACTGATTCTTCGGCCGTTGCCGATCATTGCTAACAACTCTGTGGGCTCTCGTGAAATTGTCTTTTCCGAGACCAAGGTGCTCTGCAAACCTCCTGGCTACCGTCAAAGGTTTGTACACGAAGCCATACAAATATACAAACACAGACGTAATTTCAACCGTGATGATGGGTGCAAACTGAGTAATCATTGGAAAGATGTGATTAACTGTGCAAAAAAGACAACTACACTTATTTGGACCATCTTATTTGACAGACTACTATTACAGGTTATTGATAGACAGCCAGTTTTGTTTTACCATGTTTAGTTTTTTCTTTTTTCACACTTTTGTTATGTAGGCTAGGCGTAGTCACAAACCGTACCTCTCCATAACAAAGGCTCAGTCTTTTGTTATGCAGTCTATTCTTAGTCTTAAGCCTCACCTTACCATATTAATAATAAGTATGCCGTACTTGGCCCTTCCCCTCTTCAACCATTATATAAACGGAGTGGTAGCTCTTGCAATCTCTCATTTACTTGATACAGCTGTCGTGGCTGTGACGGTTCCACCTGAAGACGGAAGCTTGTGTTGCCTCCGAAACGTCGTGATTTTTATTTTATTTTACTTTTATTAATTTTTATTTTTTACCTACGTGGTGACTTTACCGAAAAAACCTAAGAACACGTGGTAAAGGTTGTTTGTTTTTTGCAGGGTGGGTTAGATCGCGCGCATGTGTTGGGCACCTCATTTGCCAGTAAAAATATGATAATAGGTTTTTTACCCTTCTATCTGGCAACAAAACTGACACCTTTTGTTGCCAGATAGAATGGTAAAAAAACAATTATCATTTTATTAAAGCTGTTACAATATTACACACAGCAGGGTACACAACTCCCAGGGGCTAGGGGGGTCCTACTCTGAGTCCGGGTCCCTGCCGGCTCGCTCCGGTCTCTCTCTCTCGTGTCGGATCGGGGACTCTGCCGACTCCACTGACCGGATAGAGAAGCACCTCTACGGCTACCACCGGCTTCTCCCCAGACTCACCACTCGATCCCTCTCTCTACCCCTGGTTCCCTCTTCACCCTGCTTACTCTACCCGTTCCCACGGTGACCCCGCTTACGTCACGGGACGTCATGTGCACTGTCCAGCGCGCGTGACACCACGTCCCGTGACGTCATCGCACAGGACAGCGCACACTTCTCTACACATGTACCGGCCGACGACAGCCAACCGGGTCCGGTTTGCTGTCGCGTAAACAAAACGTGACGGTCGGTTACCGCTTCGGACACACGATCGGGGTGAAACCAAATGTTTTGCCTATTGTCGCTGTTCTCTGCTCTTACACTTGTAGTGAGACTAGGCCCTAAAGAAGGCAGCTGCTGGCTCTGGTGTTGGCCAATCGGTTTAAAAGACAAAGCATCATACAGGGGTGTTTAAAAAAAAGATGGACCCAATTTTTCGATTTTAAAGCTTTCGTGACTGCAGGGATTCATCTTCTTGGTTCTTTCGGTAAAGTCACGTAGAAGGGAAGTAATAAAATAATAAAATAAAACATAATAAAATAATTCTCACGACGTTTCGGCCACAATGCAAGCAGCCGTCCTCGGGTGAAGACCAGGTCTGTCGGGGAGACAGCGTCTGAATGAGGACGGCTGCTTGCGTTGTGGCCGAAACGTCGTGAGAATTATTTTATTATGTTTTATTTTTATTATTTTATTACTTCCCTTCTACGTGACTTTACCGAAAGAACCAAGAAGATGGACCCAATTTCAAAGCAGTATATTTCACGATGGCAACACGTTACAATTACACAAAAAGTCACAAACGGTTTAATGAGTCATCAAGTTTTACTGAACATTTTGTAAATGCCCTGTGCGCGCCCTCCACCTGCTGTACGCACACCATCGAGACGATGGTTGAATTCGTCCCAAACGCCTCTCAAAGTGTCTTCTTGCACTGAAGTCACCTTTAATTTCTGCACTTGAGTGGTTATGGCAATTGTGTTCAGTTAAATAATACACATTGCAACTAATTACTAATCTACAACTCATTCGGCGCTCGTAGGTCGTGCCCCATGCCCCGCCCGCCTTCAGGATGAGCTGCTTATCGCAAGCAGCACTTGCCCCGACAGTCTGTTAAGGCTACGCGGGGGACCTTTGTGCGTGTGTCGGCAGGTGATGTCAGTCGGAGTGCTGGTTCACAAGGCCTTCCCAGTCGACAAAGCTCCTCCCAGACCACCATTCCAGTCGTACTTCTCCGGTATGTGCCTGTGTGTGTCCGTGTGTGTGTGTGTGTCCGTGTGTCCGTGTGTGGCCGTGTGTCCGTGTGTGGGTGTGTGTGCGTAGGTGTGTGTGTGTCCGTGTGTGTGTGTGTGTCCGTGTGTGTGTGTGTCCGTGTGTGTGTCCGTGTGTGTGTGTGTCCGTGTGTGTGTGTGTCCGTGTGTGTGTCCGTGTGTGTGTCCGTGTGTGTCCGTGTGTGTGTGTCTGGGTTTAACCAGGCTGGATTGTGTGAGGAGCTCACAAATCCTTGAAAGATCTGGGCAAAGTCCCATCAGTGAGCTCCTCCGGCAGGCAAGGCTGCGTTGGCTGGGTCATGTAGCCCGCATGCCCAGCCACCGCATGCCTAAACAGCTTTTGTTCGGCCGGATCGAGGGGGCTAGACGGGCGCGGCACGGGCTGGAGAAGAGATGGAGTGATGTGGTACAGGAGGACGTGGAGCTGAGTGGACTTGCCGATGACTGGTACCAGCGGTGTCAAGATCGGCCTCAGTGGAGGAGGCTCGTGAAGGACGCTACTGGGCAGTTGGAGGCAGTCGCCCTCCAACAACAACGGAGGGCGGAGGAGCGACGCTCACAACAACGAGCGGAGCGCCGGGTGGCTAAAGCACAGCAAGTTGGCACAGTAGGGGGCACAGGTGGTGCATCAGCCAGTCATCTCGGTCATCTCGGTCAGTCGACCCGTGGCACCTGGGTCTGCCCCGTGACCTCCTGCCAGCGGGCTTTCGACACTTCACGTGGCCTCAAGGTGCACTTGGCCTGGCACAAGCATCGTGGTGACGTCACCGCCACTTAGTGGCGAATGGCGGTTGTTGTTGTTGTTGTTGTCCGTGTGTGTGTGTGTGTGTGTCCGTGTGTGTGTGTCCGTGTCGGTCGGGCGTGGTGCTGGCCACCCACCCCCTCGTGTACTGTTCCGGCCTTCATAGCACTTGCCCCTACAGTCTGTTAAGGCTATATGGGGGATCTTTGTTATCTTTGTGTGTCCGTGTGTGTGTCTGTGTGTGGATTTTCTGTTTGCACTTAGTCACATATTCACTTTAAGATGTTTTTTGTTCATGTTTTTGTTTGTTGCGGTTGCACCCGATTCAAGAGCCGAATGGCTCACAGGGCGATACCTAATACATGAACTTGAACTCGCCCCCCCGCAGCAATTTGCAAACCCGGGGACTGCATCTTTCCCTTCAACCTCCAGGACGTACTCAAGAAACAGGTGAGGGGGGTGGGCGTCCTTAAGAAATGACCGGTGGCGTCCTTAAGAAATGAACGATTGCGTCTTGAAGGGGGTGGCGCTGCGAGCGAGCTAGCAGGCTGCGTTTGTGTTGGAGAGCGTTGGCTGACGCGGTACGGTAGGACGTGGAGCTGAGTGGACTTGCCGGAGACCGGTACCAGCGGTGTTAAGATCGGCCTCAGTGGAGGAGGCTCGTGAAGGACGCCACTGCTGGGCAGTTGGAGGCAGTCGCCCTCCAGCAACAACAGAGGGCAGAGGAGCGACGCTCACAACAACGAGCGGGGCGTCGGGTGGCTAAAGCACAGCAAGTTGGCACAATAGGGGGCACAGGTGGTGCATCAGCCAGTCATCTCGGGTCTGCCAACCCGTGGCACCTGCTGGGTCTGTCCCGTGACCTCCTGCACCTAGCCTGGCACAGTAGGGGGCACAGGTGTTGCATCTGCCACTCATCTCAGTCAACCCACGGCACCTGCTGGGTCTGTCCCGTGACCTCCTGCACCTAGCCTGGCACAGTAGGGGGCACAGGTGTTGCATCTGCCACTCATCTCAGTCAACCCACGGCACCTGCTGGGTCTGTCCCGTGACCTCCTGCACCTAGCCTGGCACAGTAGGGGGCACAGGTGGTGCATCTGCCACTCAACTCAGTCAACCCACGGCACCTGCTGGGTCTGTCCCGTGACCTCCTCCCAGCGATGATGTCACCGTCATTTAGTGGCGAATGGCGGTTGTTGTTGTGTGTGTCACTGCGTGTGTTCACGGCGTGTCTGCGCAGTCGATGAAGATGGAGGTCTTCCCAACGGAGCGAACGCTTCTCGGCTTCCTGCTGGCGAAGATCCACGTGACGGACCCGGACGTCCTCGTGGTGAGAGACGCACACGTGTCCCTGTCTTGATTCAAAGCTTTCGTGACTGCAGGGATTCATCTTCTTGGTTCTTTCGGTAAAGTCACGTAGAAATACGTTTTGATTGGAACACACCCCCGTGTCTTCTTGGTTCTTTCGGTAAAGTCATCACGTAGAATGGAAATAATAAAATAATAAAAATAAAACATTAAATAATTCTCACGACGTTTCGGCCACAACACAAGCAGCCGTCCTCAGGTATGTCATTCAGACGCTGTTTTCTCGACAGACCTGGTCTTCACCTGAGGACGGTTGCTTGCGTTGTGGCCAAAACGTCGCGAGAATTATTTTATTATGTTTTATTTTTATTATTTCAATTCTACGTGACTTACCGAAAGAACCAAGAAGATGAATCCCTGCAGTCACGCAAGCTTTAAATCGAAATTTATACTGCCCATAGACTCAACACTGCCCATAGACTCAACACTGCCCATAGACTCAACACTGCCCATAGACTCAACACTGCCCATAGACTCAACACTGCCCATAGACTCAGCACTGCACCATAGACTCAACACTGCACCATAGACTCAACACTGCCCATAGACTCAGCACTGCACCATAGACTCAACACTGCACCATAGACTCAACACTGCACCATAGACTCAACACTGCACCATAGACTCAACACTGCCCATAGACTCAGCACTGCACCATAGACTCAACACTGCACCATAGACTCAACACTGCACCACAGACTCAACACTGCACCATAGACTCAACACTGCACCATAGACTCAACACTCCCCATAGACTCAACACTGCACCATAGACTCAACACTGCACCATAGACTCAACACTGCCCATAGACTCAACACAGCATCATCATTCAGACTCTGTCTTTCCGAAAGACCTGTTCTTCACCTGAGGACGGCTGCTTGCGTTGTGGCCAAAACGTCGTGAGAATTATTTATTATGTTTTATTTTTATTATTTTATTATTTCCATTCTACGTGACTTTACGTGACTTTACCGAAAGAACCAAGAAGATAAATCCCTGCAGTAACGAAAGCTTTAAATCGAAAATTACACCCCCGTGTGTTGCAATCGAAACGGGTAGGGTACGGGTACGGGTAGGGTACGGGTAGACCGTGAGTCACTGGCGAGTCACCGTTTGTCACTCATTTCCCAACGTCTTGTCTCTTCTCACAATTCAAGTTCCTAGAATCAACCCACCCGCGCCCGCAACATGGCTTCATCCCAGAGGTCGCAATCGGGTACCCGATACCCGTACCCTACCCGTACCCGGCCGGGTACGGGTAGGGTACGGGTACGGCCGGGTGCGGGTACCCGTTTGCGACCCTGGTGCGGCCGGGTACGGGTACGGGTAAGGAATCACAACCCGTTTGCGACCTCTGCTGTGCAGGGCCACGACATCATCGGCTTCGACCTGGAGGTGCTGCTGCAGAGGATCGCGGCGTTGAAGGTGCCGCACTGGAGCAAGCTGAGCCGCCTGCGTCGCTCAGCGATGCCTCGCCTCGGGGTGAGCGGGTCGACCGTCTCCTCTCTGAGTCGTCCTCTTTCGGAGTCGTCCTCTCTCTCTCTCTCTGAGTCGTCATCTCTCTCTCGCTCTCTGAGTCGTCCTCTCAATCGTCCTCTCTCTCTCAGTCGTTCTCTCTCTGAGTCGTCCTCTCTCTCTGAGTCGTCCTCTCTCTCTCTGAGTCGTCCTCTCAATCGTCCTCTTTCTCTCTGAGTCGTCCTGTCTCTGAGTCGTCCTCTCTCTCTCTCTGAGTCATCCTCTCTCTCTCTGAATCGTCCTCTCTCTCTCTGAGTCGTCCTCTCTCTCTCTCTGAGTCGTCCTCTCTCTCTGAGTCGTCCTCTCTCTCTCTGAGTCGTCCTCTCTCTGAGTCAGCGACGGTGGGGGTGGTGACGGTGGGCGTGGTGTCTGTGACGGTGTGTTTGGTGTCCGTGACGGTGCGGGTGACCGTGTCCGTTGTGGATGGGGGTGGTGTGTCCGTGACGGTGCGTTTGGCGTCCGTGACGGTGGTGACGGTGGTGACGGTGGTGACGGTGTGTGCGCCGTGGCGTGGCAGGGCCGGCGCGTGGTGTTTGTGACTGTGGGCGTGGTGACGGTGGTGACGGTGGGCGTGGTGTCGGTGCGGGGGTGACGGTGCGGTGGTGACGGTGGTGGCGGTGGTGACGGTGTGTGTGGCGTGGCAGGGCCGGCGCGTGGTGGAGCGCCTGGCGACTTGCGGGCGCGTGGTGTGCGACGTGAAGACGTCGGCCCGTGAGCTCGTGCGCTGCAGGAGCTACGACCTCGACGAGTTGGTCGCCTCGCTGCTCAGGACCAAGCGGGAGACGTTCTCCGCAGAAAGCGTCGCGGCCGCCTACGCGTGAGTTGGTGTGTTGGTGTGTGCGTGTGTTGGTGTGTGCGTGTGTTGGTGGGTGCGTGTGTTGGTGTGTGTGAGTGTGTGTGTGTGTGTTGGTGTGTGCGTGTGTTGGTGTGTGCATGCACGTGTTGGTGTGTGCGTGCGTGTGTGTGTGTGTTGGTGTGTGCGTGTGTTGGTGTGTGCATGCGCGTGTTGGTGCGTGCGTGTGTTGGTGTGTGTGCGTGCGTGTGTGTGCGGGTATCGGGTACTCGGTTGCGACCTCTGCTCCATCCTAACCCCCCCTGTCCTCACCCCCCCCCCCCCTCTCTTCCTCCTGGTTTATAAATAACCATCATAATCGTCCCGTTCGTTCCACAGCAACTCGCAGCGCCTGCTGGACATGGCGTCGCACACCCTCACCGACGCTCGGCACGCGCTCAGCATCATGAGCGAGCTCAACGCCCTGCCGCTGGCTCACCAGATCACCTGCATCGCCGGCAATTTGCTGGTGAGCGGCCGGAGAGTGTGTGGTGGCGGCGGTGGTGGTGGGGAGAGGCACGGTGTGTGTGTGTGTGTGTGTGCGTGTTCTAACCTCACCGCCAGGGAGTGTGTGGTGGTGGTGGTCGGTGGTGGTGAGAGGCGCGGTGTGTGTGTGTTTTAACCACGCCTCCAGGGAGTGTGGTGGTGGTGGTGGTGGCGGCGGTGGTGGTGGTCGGTAGTGGTGAGAGGCGCGGTGTGTGTGTGTGTTTTAACCTCACCGCCAGGGAGTGTGTGGTGGTGGCGGCGGCGGTGGTAGTGGTGATGGTGGTGGTGGCGGTGGTGATGGTGGGGGCGGTGGTGGTGGTGGTGGCGGTGGTAGCGGTGGTGGTGGCGGTGGTGATGGTGGTGGTGGCGGTGGTGATGGTGGGGGCGGTGGTGGTGGTGGCGGTGGTAGCGGTGGTGGTGGTGGCGGTGGTGATGGTGGTGGTGGCGGTGGTGGCGGTGGTAGTGGTAGTGGTGGTGGTAGCGGTGGTGGCGGTGGTGGCGGCGGTGGTGATGGTGGGGGCGGTGGCGGTGGTGGCGGTGGCGGTGGTAGCGGTGGTGACGGTGGTGGCGGTGGTGGCGGTGGTGGTGGTGGTGGCGGCGGTGGTGGTGGTGGCGGTGGTGGTGGTGGTGGCGGTGGCAGTGGCGGCGGCGGCGGCGGTGGTGGCGGTGGTGGCGGCGGTAGCGGTGGTGGCGGTGGTGGCGGTGGTGGTGTGTCAGAGAAGGCTATGGGCAGTGGGTGGTTGGTGTGGCCGATTTCGTTTTTGTTGTCTTTGTTGGTATCGTCGTTATTGTTGACGTCGTGATTGTCGGTCGTCGTCGTTGTTGTCATTGTTGTTGTCATCGTGGGTTGTTGTTGTTGTCGTGGTTGTCATTGTTGTTGTCGTGATTGTTGTTGTTGTCGTCGTGATTGTTGTTGTTGTGCAGTCTCGCACGCTGCTGGGCGGGCGTTCGGAGCGGAATGAGTTCCTGCTGCTCCACGCGTTCCACCAACGCAACTTCATCTGCCCCGACAAGACGTACAGCCGCAGGAACAGCGCGGCCGCCGAGGTAGAGCCACCACGCACGCACGGAGTCACCAACACAGAGCCACCAACACAGTCACCAACACAGAGCCACCACGCACGCACAGAGTCACCAACACAGAGCCACCACGCACGCACAGAGTCACCAACACAGAGCCACCACGCACGCACAGAGTCACCAACACAGAGCCACCACGCACGCACAGAGTCACCAACACAGGGCCACCACACACGCTCGGAGTCACCAACACAGAGCCACCACGCACGCACAGAGTCACCAACACAGAGCCACCACACACGCACAGAGTCACCAACACAGAGCCACCACGCACGCACAGAGTCACCAACACAGAGCCACCACGCACGCACAGAGTCACCAACACAGGGCCACCACGCACGCACAGAGTCACCAACACAGGGCCACCACACACGCTCGGAGTCACCAACACAGGGCCACCACGCACGCACGGAGTCACCAACACAGGGCCACCACACACGCTCGGAGTCACCAACACAGAGTCACCAACACAGAGTCACCAACACAGGGCCACCACACACGCACAGAGTCACCAACACAGAGCCACCACGCACGCACAGAGTCACCAACACAGGGCCACCACACACGCTCGGAGTCACCAACACAGGGCCACCACGCACGCACGGATTCACCAACACAGGGCCACCACACACGCTCGGAGTCACCAACACAGAGCCACCACACACGCTCGGAGTCACCAATACAGAGCCACCACGCACGCACAGAGTCACCAACACAGGGCCACCACACACGCTCGGAGTCACCAACACAGAGCCACCACACACGCACGGAGCGGAGAGTCGCAGAGTTACACAGAGAGCCACAGACTCACCAACACACAGACTCACCAACACAGAGCCACAGACTCACCAACACAGAGAGCCACAGACTCACCAACGCACAGAGCCACAGACTCACCAAGACAGAGACTCAAAAACACAGAGTCACAAACACAAAGACTAACACTCACAAACGCAGAGATCCATAGAGTTACATTCACAGACGCACAGACCCACAGACTCGCTCACAAACACCGAGACCCACAGTCTCACAAACGCAGAGATTCATAAAGTTACAGACACAGAGACCCACATGATTACAGAACTCCGTGTGACGCTCACCCCAGAGGTCGCAAACGGGTTTTGATTCCTTACCCGTACCCGTACCCGGCCGCACCACGGGTACCCGTACCCGGCCGTACCCGTACCCTACCCGTACCCGGCCGGGTACGGGTAGGGTACGGGTATCGGGTACCCGATTGCGACCTCTGGGATGAAGCCATGTTGCGGGCGCGGGTGGGTTGATTGTAGAAACTTGAATTGTGAGAAGAGACAAGACGTTGGGAAATGAGTAACAAACGGTGACTCACCAGTGACTCACGGCCTACCCGTACCCTACCCGTACCCGGCCGGCTAGCCGGGTATCGGGTAGGGTACGGGTATCGGGTACCCGTACCCTACCCGATACCCGGCTACCCGTACCCGGCCGGGTACGGGTAGGGTACGGGTATCGGGTACCTGATTGCGACCTCTGGGATGAAGCCATGTTGCAGGCGCGGGTGGGTTGATTCTAGGAACTTGAATTGTGAGAAGACACAAGACGTTGGGAAATGAGTGACAAACGGTGACTCACCAGTGACTCACGGCCTACCCGTACCCGTACCCGGCCGCACCAGGGTCGCAAACGGGTAGCCGGGTATCGGGTAGGGTATCGGGTACCCGGTTGCGACCTCTGGCTCACCCCCCTCCACACCCTGACGGGTCTCCGTGTGACGCCCCCCCCCCCCCCCCCCCCAAGGACGAAGATGAAGATGGCGAGCGGGGGAGGGGGAAGCGCAAGGCGGCCTACGCTGGAGGCCTCGTCCTGGAGCCCAAAGTCGGTACGATGTTGTCGTCGTCGTCACGCACGGGTCTGTCTGCTGCTGGATGAATACGTGGGACGTAGCGCGCGTGTGTGTGTGTCTGTGCGTGTGTCTGTGTGTGTGTTTGTCTGTGTGTGTGTTTGTGTGTGTGTGCGTGTGTCTGTGCGTGTGTCTGTGCGTGTGTGTGTGCGTGTCTGCGTGTGTCTGCGTGTGTCTGTGCGTGTGTCTTTGTGTGTGTGTCTGTGCGTGTGTCTGTGCGCGTGTGTCTGTGCGTGTGTCTGTGCATGTGTCTGTGCGTGTGTCTGTGCGTGGGGAGTGGTGGTGTAGTGGTTAGCGCGCCGCGCTACGAACCCAGCGACCCGGGTTCGATTCCCGCTCGCGTCTAACAACAGCGGGGGTCCTGGGCTCTCCCCTAAGATCGACGCGGTGCGGTGGTGTGCTAAACATCGCCCCTGGGGAGACAAAGGCGGCCGGGCGCGGCGCTGGCCTCCCACCCCCTCGTGTGCCACGGTGCCGGCAGCCTTCACAGGTGCTGCTACTCGCTAACTGCACTTGCCCCTACAGTCCGTTCAGAGGCTACACCTTTGTCTTTGTGCGCGTGGCAGGATTTTACGACAAATTCATTCTCCTGCTGGATTTCAACAGCCTGTACCCGTCCATCATCCAGGAGTACAACATCTGCTTCACCACCGTGTGTCAACACACACCGCCCGGGCAGGTGACGTGCGTGCAAGTGTGTCTGGGCCCTCCTCCCCTAGGTCGGCTCAGCCTCGAATGGAGTTACCCGGTGTAGCGGCGGTGTAGTGAACGTCGCCACTGGGGAGACAAAGGCGGCCGGGCGTGGTGCTGGTAGCCACAACCCCCTCGTGTGTCACGGTGCCGGTAGCCTTCACAGGTGCTGCTGCTACTCGCTAACAGCACTTGCCCCTACAGTCTTGTTAAGAGGCTGTGCGGGGGATCTTTGCCTGCGTGTGTGCGAGTGAAAGTGTGATTGTGTTGTTAGTTGAGGGTTTAACTGCCACAGCTCCTTACTATTAAAATTCCTTCCCTCTATTAATGCTAACTCTACTCCCTGCCTTTGATGCTGCTAATCCTGCATCCTGCATAATGCACGGGCATAATATGACTTTGAAACCCCCCGCCCACCTCCTACGCATTTCACAAGTAGTGACTAATCCCATATCTGCATTTCCCATAAATATTCTAAATCCCTCTGTTGATATGCAAATTCATTTGTCAAGGCGCCCTTCCCCCTCCAACCCAGCTTAAATATACGCTCCAAGCCTGGTGGTGTTTCATTCAGACGCTGTCTTTCCAACAGACCTGTTCTTCACCTGAGGACGGCTGCTTGCGTTGTGGCCGAAACGTCGTGAGAATTTTATTTTATTATGTTTTATTTTTATTATTTTATTATTTCCCTTCTACGTGACTTTACCGAAAGAACCAAGAAATTGAGGGGCGATCAAAGTGTTTGGGCGGGGAGTCGTGGCTGGGTGTGTGTGTGCGTGTGTTTGGTTACGGGGAGCGGTGGTGCAGCGGTTAGCGCTACGCTGCGCTACGAACCCGGCGTCCCGAGTTCGATCCCCGCCCACGGCCACCGTCATTATCCGTGGCGATGATCTCGATCGGTCCCGGGCCTCCCCTAGGTCGACTCAGCCTCAAATGAGTACCTGGTGCGGTGTGCAGTAAACATCGCCACTGGGGAGACAAAGGCGGCCGGGCGTGGTGCTGACCACCCACCCCCTCGTGTGCCGTGCCGGCCTTCATAGGTGCTACTCGCTAACAGCACTTGCCCCAGCAGTCTGTTAAGGCTTTACGGGGGATCTTTGTCTTTTTGTGTGTGGATTATAAGATAATTAGATGCAAGGGGTCATTTTGTAATAAAGTTCTTTCACCCTCAATGGTGCTAACGCCTCGTGGCTGGGAGGCTGGCTGAGTGTATGGGTGGTTAGCTGGGTGTATGGGTGTATAGGTGGGTGTATGGGTGTATGGGTGGTTGGCTAGGTGTATGGGTGGTTAGCTGGGTGTATGGGTGGTTGGCTGGGTGTATGGGTGGCTGGCTGGGTGTATGGGTGGTTGGCTGAGTGTATGGGTGGTTGGCTGAGTGTATGGGTGGCTGGTTGGGTGTATGGGTGGCTGGCTGAGTGTATGAGTGGCTGGCTGGGTGTATGGGTGGTTAGCTGGGTGTATGGGTGGTTAGCTGGGTGTATGGGTGGCTGGCTGGGTGTATGGGTGGTTAGCTGGGTGTATGGGTGGTTGGTTGGGTGTATGGGAGGCTGTGTGTATGGGTGGCTGGCTGAGTGTATGGGAGGCTGGCTGTGTGTATGGGTGGCTGGTTGGGTGTATGGGTGGCTGGCTGTGTGTATGGGTGGCTGGTTGGGTGTATGGGTGTATGGGTGGTTGGCTGGGTGTATGGGTGGTTGGCTGGGTGTATGGGTGGTTGGCTGGGTGTATGGGTGGTTGGCTGGGTGTATGGGTGTATGGGTGGCTGGCTGGGTGTATGGGTGGTTGGCTGGGTGTATGGGTGGTTGGCTGGGTGTATGGGTGGTTGGCTGGGTGTATGGGTGGTTGGCTGGGTGTATGGGTGTATGGGTGGGTGTATGGGTGGCTGGCTGGGTGTATGGGAGGCTGGGTGTATGGATGGTTGGCTGGGTGTATGGGTGGCTGAGTGTATGGCTGGCTGGCTGGGTGTATGGGTGGCTGGCTGGGTGTATGGGTGGCTGGCTGGGTGTATGGGTGGCTGGCTGGGTGTATGGCTGGCTGGCTGGGTGTATGGGAGGCTGCAGACGCACTTGACCCTGCGTCCTGCCAAGGCTACACGGGGGGGAAATATCTTTGTCTTTGTTTGTACACCACCAGGGTGCCGACTGGATACCGGATTTGCCCGACTCGGGCCTGGAGCTGGGCGTGTTGCCCACGGAGATCCGCAAACTGGTGGAGCGACGCAAGCAGGTCAAGGGTCTCATGAAGCAAGCTGACCTCAACCCTGACCTCTACACGCAGGTCAGTGTGGCCTTAGTCTCACTCCGTGACCTCTACACGTAGGTCAGCGTGACCTTAGTCTCACTCCGTGACCTCTACATGCAGGTCAGTGTGACCTTAGTCTCACCCCCTGACCTCTACATGCAGGTCAGTGTGACCTTAGTCTCAACCCTGACCTCTACACACAGGTCAGTGTGACCCCAGTCTCAACCCTGACCTCTACACGTAGGTCAGTGTGACCCCAGTCTCAACCCTGACCTCTACACGTAGGTCAGTGTGACCTTAGTCTCATCCCCTGACCTCTACACGTAGGTCAGTGTGACCTTAGTCTCAACCCTGACCTCTACACGTAGGTCAGTGTGACCCCAGCCTCACTCCCTGACCTCTACATGCAGGTCAGTGTGACCCCAGTCTCAACCCTGACCTCTACACGTGACGTTCTATTCCTTGGTCACCACATTCAGATAAGCCCCTCCCCCCTTAACTTGTATATAAGGGCTGGTCTTTTGGAATTTTTGCCTCACTTGATGCAGTAATTTTAGCTGTGACGGTCCCGCCTGATGACGGAGACTTGTGTTGCCTCCGAAACGTCGTAATTCATTATTTTATTTTATTTCTATTACTACTTGTATTAAATTTCGATTTATAGTTTTCGTGACTGCAGGGATTCATCTTGTCTGGTTCTTTAGGTAAAGTCACGTAGAAGGGAAATACTAAAATAATAAAAATCAAACATAATAAAATACAATTCTCACGACGTTTTGGCCACAACGCAAGCAGCCGTCCTCAGGTGAAGAATGAAACACTACCAAGCTTGGAGCGTATATTTAAGCTGGGTTGGAGGGGCAAGAAGAGCGCCTTGACAAAAGAATTAGGTTAGTGTAAATGCGATTGGTATTACCTTAGAGTCGCGGCATCTCTTCAGAAAGGTGAGAGACTCGATTAGCTGAGCCTTCTTTTATTAAATAATTTTTTTTTTCCTACGTGACTTTACCGAAAAGACTCAAAGATCTGTCGACACCTCCCCCCCCGCCCTCCCTCCCTCTGGCGCGCTCCCAGTACGACATCCGTCAGAAGGCGTTGAAGCTGACTGCCAACAGCATGTACGGCTGCCTGGGATTCTCGCTGTCGCGCTTCTACGCCAAGCCGCTGGCCGCACTAGTCACCCTCAAGGGACGCGAGGTGCTCACACACACACACGTGTCTGTGTGTGTCTGTGTGTGTCTGTGTGTGTCATGTGTGTGTCCTGTGTGTGTGTCCTGTGTGTGTGTCCTGTGTGTGTGTAATGTGTGTGTGTCGTGTGTGTGTCATGTGTGTGTCATGTGTGTGTCCTGTGTGTGTGAGTGACTCGATGTGTGTGTGTGAGTGAGTGTGACTCTTGTGTGTGTGTATGTGAGTGTGTGTGAGTGAGGTGCTCGCACGCACGTACGTCTGTGTCTGCCTGTGTGTGTCTGTGTCTGCCTGTGTGTGTCCTGTGTGTGTGAGTGACTCGATGGGTGTGTGTGAGTGGTGTGAGTGAGGTGCACATGGCCTGGCACAAGCATCGTGGTGACGTCACCGCCACTTAATGGCGAGTGGCGGTTGTTGTTGTTGTGAGTGTGTGACTCGTTGTGTGTGTGTGAGTGAGCGTGTGGGTGTGTGAGTGAGTGTGACTCGGTGGGGGTGAGTCACATACACACCCTTACCAACTCACTCACTCACACACACTCACACACACACTCACACACTCACATACACTCACACACACACTCACACACACCCCACTGAGTCACACTCTCACACACACTCACACACATTCACACACACACTCACACACACTCACACACACACACTCACACACACACTCACACACACTCGCACACACCCCACTGAGTCACACACACTCACACACACACTCACACACACACTCACACACACTCACACACACTCACACACACTCCGCAGGACGGGGGATGCGGGTCACGGGAAGAACACTTACAACCTCCGCACAGGCTGCGTGGCACGGGTGGTGCTGCTACGCCGCTACCCTCCCGCAGTAGAACGTCAACGTGCGTGCGTGTGTGTGCGTGCGTGTGTGTGCGTGCGTATGTGTGTGTGTGCGTACGTGCGTGCGTGCGTACGTAAGTGCGTACGTAAGTGCGTACGTGCGTGCGTGCGTACGTAAGTACGTGCGTGCGTACTTGCGTACGTAAGTGTGTACGTGCGTGCGTACTTGCATACGTGCGTACGTGCGTGCGTGCGTGCGTACGTGCGTGCGTGCGTACGTGCGTGCGTGCGTGTGTGCTTCCAGGGACGCGTGTCCGCGCGTGGCGCGTGATTTTTTCCCCCTTTTGCTTTTTCCAGATCCTGCTGCACACGAAGGAGCTGGTGCAGAAGGTGAGCGAGTGGGTGGTGCAATCGTCTCAGTCGGTCAACCCGTGGCACCTGCTGGGTCTGTTCCCGTGACCTCCTGCACCTAGCCTGGCACAGCAGGGGGCACAGGTGGTGCAATCGGCCAGTCGTCTCAGTCGGTCAACCCGTGGCACCTGCCGGGTCTGTCCCGTGACCTCCTGCACCTAGCCTGGCACAGTAGGGGGGTACAGCTGGTGGTGCAATCGGCCGGTCGTCTCAGTCGGTCAACCCGTGGCACCTGCTGGGTCTGTCCCGTGACCTCCTGCACCTAGCCTGGCACAGTAGGGGGGTACAGCTGGTGGTGCAATCAGCCAGTCGTCTCAGTCGGTCAACCCATGGCACCTGCTGGGTCTGTCCCGTGACCTCCTGCACCTAGCCTGGCACAGTAGGGGGGTACAGCTGGTGGTGCAATCGGCTCAGTCGGTCAACCTCATGGCACCTGCTGGGTCTTTCCCGTGACCTCCTGCACCTAGCCTGGCACAGTAGGGGGGTACAGCTGGTGGTGCAATCGGCCAGTCGTCTCAGTCGGTCAACCTCATGGCACCTGCTGGGTCTTTCCCGTGACCTCCTGCACCTAGCCTGGCACAGTAGGGGGGTACAGCTGGTGGTGCATCTGCCGGTCATCTCAGTCAGTCAACCCGTGGCACCTGCCGGGTCTGTCCCGTGACCTCCTGCACCTAGCCTGGCACAGTAGGGAGCACAGGTGGTGTCAGGGTTTGGATCGAACTCACGACCTCCTGTAGACCAGGCGAGGTTGTTAACATCTCCTAGCCACCGTGATGATGATGATGATGAGAGAGACACGAAGACTCCAAATATACAGCAGCAGGCGTCAGGGTCAGGATCGAATCGACGACACCAGGCGAGGTAGTCAACATCTCCTAGCCACCGTGATGACGATGAGAGAGAGACACGCAAACTCAATATACAGCAGAAGCCAGGGTCTGGATCGAACCCACGACCTCCTGCGTACCAGGCGAGGTAGTCAACATCTCCTAGCCACCGTGATGATGGCAGGAGACCCCTGGCCATATTGTGCCTGGCAATGGACGGGGGGGCGGCCGTTTGTTGACCCCAGGGGTCGTGTGCGACGCAGATGAACCTGGAGGTGATCTACGGAGACACGGACTCCATCATGATCAACACCAACAGCCGGGACTTGGACGAGGTCTACCGGCTGGGGTCAAAGGTGGGCTGACGATCGCCGCGATGATGTTGTGTGCAGGGCAGAGGTCGCAACCGGGTACCCGATACCCGTACCCTACCCGATACTCGGCTACCCGTACCCGGCCGGGTACGGGTAGACCGTGAGTCACTGGTGAGTCACCGTTTGTCACTCATTTCAGGTAGGGTACGGGTAGGGTACGGGTAGGGTAGGGTACGGGTAGGCCGTGAGTCACTGGTGAGTCACCGTTTGTCACTCATTTCGGGTAGGGTACGGGTACGGAATCAAAACCCGTTTGCGAGCTCTGGTGCGGGGGAGCGGTGGGTGTAGTGGTCAGCGCTACGTCGCGCTACGAACCCGGCGACCCGGGTTCAATTCCCGCTCACGGCCAACGCCGGTGACGATTTTATCTGAACCGGTTCTGGGCCTCCCCTAGGTCGACTAGGCCTCAAATGAGTACTTGGTGCGGTGTGTAAACATCGCCACTGGGGAGACAAAGGCGGCCGGGCGTGGTGTCAGCCACCCACCCCCTCGTGTGCCACAGTGCGGGCCTCTATAGGTGCTGCTGCTACTCGCTAACAGCACTTGCCCCAGCAGTCTGTTCCAGGCTACACGAGGGTGATCTTTTTTAAATCCTTTATATTAAGTTCGCTTGCTTGCGTGCTTGCGTGCTTGCTTGCTTGCTTACGACCATGCAAATCTTTCGGTCGTTTTTTAACCCACTTCTCGTGATCCAATCGAGCTGACATTTTGCACACAGACTCGTTGTGCGAGACAATTAATGTTCGAGAAATTTTTTTTTCCAAAATGTTACACTGTTTAGGGAAAACAAATTAAATATTTAATTACCAATTGCTTAATACTGCATAGGTGGCAGCCATCTCAAGCCAGAGGACGAGAGGACTCTAGCCACCACGCATATAAAGGATTTAGAGTGAAAAACTTTGTTTTTACGGGTTATACTTATTAAATCCTTTATATTAAGTTCACTTGCTTGCTTGCGCGCTTAGTACCGTGCAAATCTTTCGGTCGTTTTTTAACCTACTTCCCGTGATCCAATCGAGCTGACATTTTGCACACAAACTCGTTGTGCGTGACAAGTTATTTTCGTGAAAATTTTTAGCCAAAATTTTCCACTTTTTAGGAAAATGTTTTTTAGATTTAATTTAAAATACGAATGTGATAAAAATGAAACTGTTACTCAAGAAAAACAGAAATTAATAATTAAATAAAACCGATGCCACGCATATTAAAGCATTTATAGTGAACAACTTTGTTTTTACGGGTTAATTTTTTTGTCTTTGTGCGTACGTGTGCGCGCGTACGTGTGCTTGCGTTGGGGTTCACGTGCGAGGTGTGGGTTCACGTGAGATTTCTGTGGGGGGTTGACGTGCGTGCGTGTGGGTTCATGCGTGTGTGTGGGGGGGGGGGGGGCTCCACGTGTCCGTGACGTCACCGCTGATCTTAAAGGTGCATTGAAAAATGTTGACACTCCGACTGATTTCGATTTAAAGCTTTCGTGACTGCAGGGATTCATCTTCTTGGTTCTTTCGGTAAAGTCACGTAGAAGCGAGGTAGTCAACATCTCCTAGCCACCGTTATATTATTTTATTATGTTTTATTGTTATTGTATTATTTCCCTTCTACGTGACTTTACCGAAAGAACCAAGAAGATCACTTGAAGATGTTTTCTCGTTCATGTTTTAGTTTTTTCTTTGTTGCGGTTGCACCCGATTCAAGAGCCGAATGGCTCACAGGGCTATACCAGAGGTCGCAACCAGGTACCCGATACCCGTACCCTACCCGATACCCAGAAACCCGTACCCAATCGGGTACGGGTACCCGTTTGCGACCCTGGTGCGGCTGGGTACGGGTAGGCCGTGAGTCACTGGTGAGTCACCGTTTGTCACTCATTTCCCAACGTCTTGTCTCTTCTCACAATTCAAGTTCCTAGAATCAACCCACCCTCGCCTGCAACATGGCTTCATCCCAGAGGTCGCAATCGGGTACCCGTACCCAGGTACGGGTAGCCGGGTATCGGGTAGGGTACGAGTACAGGTACCCGTTTGCGACCCTGGTGCGGCCGGGTACGGGTAAGGAATCAAAACCCGTTTGCGACCTCTGGGCTTGTACCTAATCAATGAACTTGAACGGCGCTCCCCGCAGGTGAAGGCGGAGGTGAACCGCTCGTACCGCCTGCTGGAGATCGACGTTGACGGCGTCTACCGCTCCATGCTGCTGCTCAAGAAGAAGAAGTACGCGGCGCTGAGCGTCGAGCGGCAGCCCGACGGCTCCTACACCACGCGGCAGGAGCTCAAGGGCCTGGACATCGTGCGGCGCGACTGGTGCGGCCTTGCCAAGGCCTGCGGCAAGTGAGTGGCGGGTGGTGGGAGGGTGGCGGGGAGGGTGGTGGGGATGGTGGTGGGGTGGGTGGTGGGGAGGGTGGTGGGTGGTGGGGAGGCACGCTCACTTCCCACACTCGAACACTGCACACCAGGCGAGGTAGTTAACATCTCATAGCCACCGTGATGATGATGATGAGAGAGACACGCAGACTCCAAATGTACAACAGGCACCGTCAGGGTCGGGGTCGAACCCACGACCTCCTGTATACCTGGCGAGGTAATCAACATCTCCTAGCCACCGTGATGATGATGAGAGAGACGCAGGGGTAAGGGGTCGGGATTGAACCCACGACCTCCTGTATACTAGGCGAGGTAGTCAACATCTCCTAGCCACCGTGATGATGAGAGAGACGCAGGGGTAAGGGGTCGGGATTGAACCCACGACCTCCTGTATACCAGGCGAGGGAGTCAACATCTCCTAGCCACCGTGATGATGAAGAGAGAGAGACATGCAGACTCCAAATATACAGCAGCAGGCGTCGTCCGGGTCAGGGTCGAACCCACGACCTCCTGTACACCAGGCGAGGTAGTTAACATCTTTTATTATTTTCGATTTATTTTTAAATACAAATTTTATTTTACTATTTTTATTGTGGGTTTACTGCTTTTATTATTTTCAATTTGTTATTTTTTTTATTTAATTTTTTATTATTTTAAATGAACAGTTGATTATTTTAAATTATATTTTTTCTGATTTTTATTTTTTTTTTATTTTTTCGGTTTTCTATTTACGTACAGCGTTGTTGCGTCACGCTGAATTGCAATCACTCCCTCCCCCTCCCTCTGTCCCACGGTGGCGTCCACCCAGCTACGTGATCGGACAGATCCTGTCCGACCAGCCGCACGGAGACATCTTGGACAAGATCCAGAGCCACCTGGAGGAGACGGGGCGCAGCGTGGCTGACGGCACGGTGGACGTCCAACAGTACCACATACACAAGGTGTGGCTACCCACACACACTGACACACCTACACACAGCTACACACACACACCTACTGATACACCTACACACACAGCTACACACACACACCTACACACACAGCTACACACACACACGTACCACATACACAAGGTGTGCCTACACACACAGCTACACACACACACACTGATACACCTACACACACACACGTACCACATACACAAGGTGTGCCTACACACACACACTGATACACCTACACACACACACGTACCACATACACAAGGTGTGCCTACACACACACACTGATACACCTACACACACACACGTACCACATACACAAGGTGTGCCTACACACACACACTGATACACCTACACACACACACGTACCACATACACAAGGTGTGCCTACACACACACACTGATACACCTACACACACACACGTACCACATACACAAGGTGTGCCTACACACACACACTGATACACCTACACACACAGACACTGATACACCTACACACACACACGTACCACATACACAAGGTGTGCCTACACACACACACTGATACACCTACACACACACACGTACCACATACACAAGGTGTGCCTACACACACACACTGATACACCTACACACACACACGTACCACATACACAAGGTGTGCCTACACACACACACTGATACACCTACACACACACACGTACCACATACACAAGGTGTGCCTACACACACACACTGATACACCTACACACACACACGTACCACATACACAAGGTGTGCCTACACACACACACTGATACACCTACACACACACACGTACCACATACACAAGGTGTGCCTACACACACACACTGATACACCTACACACACAGACACTGATACACCTACACACACACACGTACCACATACACAAGGTGTGCCTACACACACACACTGATACACCTACACACACACACACTGATACACCTACACACACACACGTACCACATACACAAGGTGTGCCTACACACACACACTAATACACCTACACACACACACACTGATACACCTACACACACACACGTACCACATACACAAGGTGTGCCTACACACACACACTGACACACCTACACACACACACGTACCACATACACAAGGTGTGCCTACACACACACACTGATACACCTACACACACACACGTACCACATACACAAGGTGTGCCTACACACACACATCTACTGACACACCTACACACAGCTACACACACACACCTACTGATACACCTACACACACAGCTACACACACACACGTACCACATACACAAGGTGTGCCTACACACACACACTGACACAGCTACACACACACATGTACCACATACACAAGGTGTGCCTACACACACAGCTACACACACACACACTGATACACCTACACACACACACGTACCACATACACAAGGTGTGCCTACACACACAGCTACACACACACATGTACCACATACACAAGGTGTGCCTACACACACAGCTACACACACACACGTACCACATACACAAGGTGTGCCTACCCACACACACACTGATACACCTACACACACACACGTACCACATACACAAGGTGTGCCTACACACACAGCTACACACACACACGTACCACATACACAAGGTGTGCCTACACACACACACTGATACACCTACACACACACACGTACCACATACACAAGGTGTGCCTACACACACAGCTACACACACACACACTGATACACCTACACACACACACGTACCACATACACAAGGTGTGCCTACACACACACATCTACTGACACACCTACACACACACACGTACCACATACACAAGGTGTGCCTACACACACACTGATACACCTACACACACACACGTACCACATACACAAGGTGTGCCTACACACACAGCTACACACACACACACTGATACACCTACACACACACACGTACCACATACACAAGGTGTGCCTACACACACACATCTACTGACACACCTACACACACACACGTACCACATACACAAGGTGTGCCTACACACACACATCTACTGACACAGCTACACACACACACACCTACTGACACACCTACACACAGCTACACACACACACCTACTGACACACCTACACACAGCTACACACACACACACTTACTGATACACCTACACACACAGCTACACACACACACACACCTACTGATACACCTACACACACAGCTACACACACACACACACCTACTGATACACCTACACACACAGCTACACACACACACACACCTACTGATACACCTACACACACAGCTACACACACACACACTTACTGATACACCTACACACATAGCTACACACACACACACACTGACACAGCTACACACACACACGTACCACATACACAAGGTGTGCCTACACACACACACCTACTGATACACCTACACACACAGCTACACACACACACACTGACACAGCTACACACACACACGTACCACATACACAAGGTGTGGCTACCCACACACCTACTGACACACATACCTACACAGCTACACACACACACACTTACTGATACACCTACACACACAGCTACACACACACACGTACCACATATACAAGGTGTGGCTACCCACACACACACTGACACAGCTACACACACAGCTACACACACACACACATACTGATACACCTACACACACAGCTACACACACACGCGTACCACATACACAAGGTGTGGCTACCCACACACACACTGACACAGCTACACACACAGCTACACACACCTACTGATACACCTACACACACAGCTACACACACACACACACTGACACAGCTACACACACACACGTACCACATACACAAGGTGTGCGCCTACCCACACACACACTGACACAGCTACACACACACATGTACCACATACACAAGGTGTGGCTACACACACACACCTACTGACACACCTACCTACACAGCTACACACACACACACTGACACAGCTACACACACACACGTACCACATACACAAGGTATGGCTACCCACACACACTTACTGATACACCTACACACACAGCTACACACACGTACCACATACACAAGGTGTGGCTACCCACACACACACCTACCGATACACCTACACACACAGCTACACACACACACCTACTGATACACCTACACACACAGCTACACACACACACACTGACACAGCTACACACACACACGTACCACATACACAAGGTGTGCCTACACACACACACCTACTGACACACCTACCTACACAGCTACACACACACACACTTACTGATACACCTACACACACACCTACCCACACACCTACCCACACACCTACCCACACACCTACCCACACACACCTACCCACACACCTATCCACCCACCTACCCACACACCTACCTACACAGCTACCCACACACCAACCTACACACCTACCCACACACCTACCCACACACCTATCCACCCACCTACCCACACACCTACCCACACACACCTACCCACACACCTACCCACACACCTACCCACACACCTACCTACACACCTACCCACACACACCTGCACACACACCTACCCACACACCTACCCACACACACCTACCCACACACCTACCCACACACCTACACACACACCTACCCACACACTTACCCACACACATACCCACACACCTACCCATACACCTACCCACACCCCTACCCACACAGCTACCCACACACCTACCCACACACCAACCTAGGTTGGTGTCGCTCACCGCAAGTGCTGAGGGGCTCACATTGATGCTGACCCCCCCCCTCCTCATCCTCCCCTCCTCCTCCCCCCCCCCCCCCCCCACTTGCCCCCGCCACTTGTCCCCCCCCCCACTTGCCCCCCCCACTTGCCCCCCCCCCCCACCACAGGCATTGACCAAGGACCCCCAGGACTACCCAGACAAACGCTCCTTGCCCCACGTGCACGTGGCCCTCTGGGTCAACTCCCAGGCGGGCAAGCGGCTGAGGGCGGGCGACACGGTCACCTACGTCGTGTGCCAGGTGCTGGGAGGGTGTGGGTGGGTGAGTGGGTGGGTGGGTGGGCGTGGGTGGTGTGGGTGGGCGTGGGTGGGTGGGCGTGGGTGGTGTGGGTGGGCGTGGGTGTGGGTGGGTGTAGACCAGGCGAGGTAGTTAACATCTCCTAGCCACCGTGATGACGATGATGAGAGAGAGACGCAGACTCCAAATATACAGCAGCAGCAGCAGCAGGCGTCGTCAGGGTCGGGGTCGAACCCAAGACCTCCTGTAGACCTGGCGAGCTAGTCAACATCTCCTAGCCACCGTGATGATGATGAGAGAGAGACGCAGACTCCAAATACACAGCAGCAGCAGCAGGCGTCGTCAGGATCGGGATCGAACCCACGACCTCCCGCCCTCGTACCAGCCGAGGCGGTCAACGTCTCATCACCACGGCTGCCCTAGCCCACCCCCAGTGGCAGCCGTTCCTTCTGCAAGCGATCGGCGCTCACCATCGCCGGCATCACCGGCGTTGAGCCAAGGTCGCAAATGGGTTTTGATTCCTTACCCGTACCCTACCCGAAATGAGTGGCAAACGGTTACTCACCAGTGACTCACGGCCTACCCGTACCCGGCCGCACCAGGGTCGCAAACGGCTACCCGTACCCGTACCCGGCTGGGTACGGGTAGCCGGGTATCGGGTAGGGTACGGGTATCGAGTACCCGTTCCCTACCCGTACCTTACCCGAAATGAGTGACAAAACGGTTACTCACCGGTGACTCACGGCCTACCCGTACCCGGGTACCCGCTTGCGACCTCTGGCGTTGAGGCAACGGCGGTCGTTTTCTGGCTTTGCGCAGGACGGTTCTGGCCTGGCGGCGAGCCAGCGAGCCTACGCTCCTGAGCAGCTGCAGCGCCAGGAGGGGCTCCGGCTGGACACGGAGTATTACCTCGCCAGCCAGGTGCTGCCCGTCGTCTCGAGGCTCTGCGAGCCCATGGAGGGAGTGGACACGCAGATCATCGCCCAGTGGCTCGGTGGGTGACGGGGGCCTCGCTCGCCGCACGAACCGCGCCGCACGGACCACACTCACCGCGCTACACTCACCACACTGTACTCACCACACTCACCACGCTACACTCACCACACTCACCACGCTACACTCACCAAACTGCACTCGCCACACGAACCACACTCACCACACTCACCATGCTCGCCGCACTACACTTACCACGCTACACTCACCACGCTACACTCACCACACTACACTCACCACACTACACTCACCACACTACACTCACTACACTACACTCACCACACTCGCCACACTACACTCACCGCACTCACCACACTCACCGCACTACACTCACCACACTACACTCGCCACACTGACTACACTCACCACCACACTCACCGCACTACTCACCACACCACACTCACCACTCAATACACTCACCACGCTCACCACGCTCACCACACTCACCGCATTACACTCACCACACCATGCTACACTCACCACACTACACTACACTCACCACACCACAAACACCGCACTACACTCGCCACACTCACCACACTACACTGACCACACTCACCACACTCACCACACTCGCCACACTCACCGCATCTCCGGTTTTCCCAATGCCTCCCCACCCCCCCGGCTCCCACCCAGGCCTGGACCCGTCCCAGTTCCGAGCGTCGTCGCTGTCCGCCGTGACGTCGTCGTCGCGCGACGAGGACGAGGCCTTGCTGGGCGGCGTGGCGCTGAGCTACGAGGAGCGCTTCGCGCGCTGCGAGCGGCCCGCCGTGACGTGCGCCGCCTGCGGAGCCGCGGGCACCATCGACGGGCCCTTCCGCGGATCGGTGAGGCGGCGGGCGCCACGGCGCGGGCGTGTCGGCCTCCAACACCGGTGGGCCGGTTGGCAGAGGTCGCAAACGGGTTTTGATTCCTTACCCGTAACGTACCCGGCCGCACCAGGGTCGCAAATGGGTACCCGTACCCGTATCTGGCCGGGTACGGGTATCCGTTCCCTACCCGTACCCTACCCTACCCGAAATGAGTGACAAACGGTGACTCACCAGTGACTCACGGCCTACCCGTACCCGGCCGCACCAGGGTCGCAAACGGGTACCCGTACCCGTACCCGGCCGGGTAGCCGGATATCGGGTAGGGTACGGGTATCAGGTAGGGTACGGGTATCGGGTACCCGGTTGCGACCTCTGCCGGTTGGCCTCGCTGCTGTTTGTGTGTGTGATTGTGTGTGTGATTGTGTATCTGTGTGTGCATGCCACCCAGGGTGTCCACATCCAGCCGAGTCTGCTGTGCTGCACCAGCTGCGAGGCCTCGCTGCTGTTTGTGTGTGTGTCTGTGTGTGTTTGTGTGTGTGTGTCTGTGTGTGTGATTGTGTGTGTGTGATTGTGTGTGTGTATGTCTGTCTGTGTGTGTGACTGTGTGTGTTTGTGTGTGTCTGTGTGTCTGTGTGTGTGATTGTGTGTGTGTGTGATTGTGTGTGTGACTGTGTGTCTGTGTGACTGTGTGTGTGACTGTGTGTGTGACTGTGTGTCTGTGTGTGTGTGTGTCTGTGTGTGTGATTGTGTGTGTGATTGTGTGTGTGTGTGTGTCTGTCTGTGTGTGTGACTGTGTGTGTTTGTGTGTGTGATTGTGTGTGTGTGTGTCTGTGTGTGTGACTGTGTGTGTGCGTGCCACTCAGGGTGTCCACATCCAGCCGAGTCTGCTGTGCTGCACCAGCTGCGAGGCTTCGCTGCTGGCGAACCTGCCGGCGCTGAGCAACCGCCTGCAGCTCGATGTGCGGCGCCACGTCAGCCGCTACCACGCGGTGAGGGGCGCCACGCCACCATCACCACGTCACCCTCGCCACGTCACCCTCACCACGACAACCTCACCACGTCACCCTCGCCACGTCACCCTCGCCACGTCACCCTCGCCACGTCACCCTCGCCACGTCACCCTCGCCACGTCACCCTCGCCACGTCACCCTCGCCACGTCACCCTCACCACGTCACCCTCGCCACGTCACCCTCGCCACGTCACCCTCGCCACGTCACCCTCGCCACGTCACCCTCGCCACGTCACCCTCACCACGTCACCCTCGCCACGTCACCCTCGCCACGTCACCCTCGCCACGTCACCCTCGCCACGTCACCCTCGCCACGTCACCCTCGCCACGTCACCCTCGCCACGTCACCCTCGCCACGTCACCCTCGCCACGACAACCTCGCCACGTCACCCTCGCCACGTCACCCTCGCCACGTCACCCTCGCCACGTCACCCTCGCCACGTCACCCTCGCCACGTCACCCACGCCACCATCACCACGACAACCTCACCACATCACAACATCACCCTCACCACGTCAACCCTCACCACGTCACCCTCACCACACCACCCTCACCACACCACCATCACCACACCACCCTCACCACACCACCGTCACCACACCACCATCACCACACCACCCTCGCCACGCCAACCTCGCCCACCACACCACCCTTACCACTCGCCTGCCACGCCCACGCCACTTCACAATCCCAATATTTTATTTTGGCCGCAGCAGTAATCCGATGGGGGGTGGGGGGTGATCTTTGTCTTTGTGCCAGGGCTGGCTGGTGTGCGAGGACATGGCGTGTCGCCACCGCACGCGGCGCCTGCCGCTCACCTTCACCCAGCAGGGGCCGCTGTGTCCCACGTGCCACAGAGGGGTGCTCAGGGCGGAGGTGCGGCGCACACACACGCACACACACACACGCACACACACACAGACGCGCATGCACACACACACGCACACACAGACGCAGACACGCACAGACACACACGCACACACACAGACGCACACACATGCATGCACGCACACACAGACACACACACACATACAGACACGTACACACACACACAGACACGCACATACAGACACGCGCAGACACAGACACACACACAGACACACACATACACACAGACACACACGCATACACACACGCACGCACACACACAGACACGCACGCACACACACGCACACACACAGACACGCACACACACACACACGCACACACAGACACGCACACACAGACACGCACACACACGCACACGCATGCACACACACACGCGCACAGACACACACGCACACAGACACGCACACACACGCATGCACACGCATGCACACGCACAGACACGCACGCAGACACACACGCACACGCACAGACACGCACTCATGCACATACACACAGATGCACAGACACGCACGCACAGACACGCACATGCACATACACAGGCATACACACGCATACACACGCATACACACATACACACAGACACGCACGCACACATACACACAGACACGCACGCACACATACACACAGACACGCACGCACACATACACACAGACACGCACACACACATACACACAGACACGCACATACACACAGACACGCACACACACATACACACAGACACGCACACATACACACAGACATACATAGACACACACGCATGCACACACACAGACACACACGCGCACACACACACGCACACAGACATAAACGCACACACACGCACGCACATACACACATACGCACACACACACACAACAACAACCGCCATTCGCCACTAAGTGGCGGTGACGTCACCACAACGCTTGTGCCAGGCTATGTGCACCTTAAGGCCACGTGAAGTGTCGAAAGCCCGCTGGCAGGAGGTCACAGGGCAGACCCAGCAGGTGCCATGGGTTGACCGACTGAGATGACTGGCAGATGCACCACCTGTGCCCCTGACTGTGCCAGGCTAGGTGCAGGAGGTCACGGGACAGACCAAGGTGGTACCATGGGGTTGACAGACTGAGATGACTGGCAGATGCACCACCTGTGCCCCCAACTGTGCCAGGCTAGGTGCAGGAGGTCACGGGACAGACCCAGGTGGTACCATGGGGTTGACCGACTGAGATGACTGGCAGATGCACCACCACCATCTGTGCTCCCCACTGCACACCAACTCGCTGCATTTGATCCGCCCGGCGCTCTAATCGTTGTTGCGTGGGGAGTGGTGGGGCAGCGGTTTAGCGCGCTGCGCTGCGCTACGAAACCCGGCCACCCGGGTTCGATTCCCACTCACGACCAACATTCGGTGACGAATAACTGAACCAGGTCCTGGGTCACCCCCTAGATCGACTCGGCCTTAAATGGGCACCTTGTTTTGGACACCCCACGCCCCCCGTGAGCCGTGCCGGCCTTCGTGGGTGCTCGTTAACAGCACTTACCCCTACAGTCTGTTACAGGCTATACGGGGGATCTTTGTTTTTTGTGTGTGTCAGTGTGTAGGTGTGTGGGGAGCGGTAGTGTAGTGGTTAGCGCTACGCTGCGCTACAAACCCGGAGACCTGAGTTCGATTCCCGCTCACGGCCAACACCGGTGACGATTATCTGAATCGCTCCTGGGCCTCCCCTAGGTCGACTCAGCCTCAAATGTGTACCTGGTGCGATGTGTAGTAAACATCGCCACTGGGGAGACAAAGGCGGCCGGGCGTGGTGTTGGCCACCCACCCCCTCGTGTGCCGCCGTGCCGGCCTTCATAGGTGCCGCTCGCTATCAGCACTTGCCCCTACAGTGTGTTAAGGCTACACGGGGGATCTTTGTTTGTGTTTGCAGTACACAGAGAAGATGCTGTACACCCAACTGTGCTTCTACCAACACCTGTTTGACTTGGACTGCAAATCTCTCACCGAGGTTGAAAAGAGTGAGTTCAATGCAATGACACACACACACACACCCCGAAACACACACGTACACAGCCTTACACAGCCTTACATACACACAGCCTTACACATGTAGTGTCCACACACACACCCCTAAAAACACACACGTACACAGCCACACACAGCCTTACACACACAGCCTTACACACGTACGCAGCCTTACACACGTAGTGTACACACACCCCTAAAAACACGTACACAGCCTTACACACACACGTGTATACCATCTTATACACACATGTAGCCTTCCACACACACGCGTACACAGTCTTACACACGTAGTGTACACACACGAGGTGTACACACACACACACCCCTAAAAACACACGTACACGGCCTTACACACGTACACAGCCTTACACACACACACGTGTATACCATCTTATACACACAAGTAGCCTTACACACACACACACACACGTACACAGCCTTACACACGTAGTGTACACACACGAGGTGTACACAACGTACACACGTACACACACACGTAGTGTACACACACACACACGTACACACACACACGTACACACGTGTGTGTGTAATTGTTGGTGGTGCCGGCTCCTTGCCGCTTTGCTGCAGCTGCTACTACCACCGCCGCTGCTGCTGCTACCACTGCTGCTGCTACCTCCACTGCTACTGCTGCTACCACTGCTGCTACCACTGCTGCTGCTACCTCCACTGCTACTGCTGCTGCCACTGCTACTGCTACCTCCACTGCTACTGCTGCTACCACTGCTACTGCTACCTCCACTGCTACTGCTGCTACCACTGCT